TATATATGTACTTGGCATAAATTGAACCCAGGGCTGTGGAATTGGAAGGCAAGCACCTTTCATTAACACTCTGCCCGCCAAACATGGAGATCTCCGTGTTTGGTAATGCAATGCTTGACCGCCAAACACAGAAATCTCAGTTTCAAGTTTTTTTACGGAATCCGATTACCAACATGTAGTAACAATTTGAACACTATATTCAATCTAGACCGTAAGTAAGTGTTACACTTTTGGTACTAGTGCATATAAGCTTGCTAATATGGATAATTTTTCATTCCTGATGATGACATAATTAATGTCGAAATATTGAATCCCAACACGATGGCGTGTATTTCAATACTTGGAGTACGTATTATACTTTATTAGCTATTTTTCTTTTAATATTTACTCAGAGAGAATAGGCTTCCAAGCAACTTTCATGCCAGGAACTGTTAAGGTGGAAGATTCTGAAAAAGGGGCAAAGGATGAGACAAAACGAGAGAAGCAAGAAGATGAAAACTATGAACCAAAAGGAAAAACTGAACAAGATGTTGAGCAAGGTACAGAGGTTGAAGTAGACTCTAATACCGGCCATATAGGTGATACATGTACAGAATCAGCCACACCTGATGAGGCCAGCTTATTATCAGAGGCCTCAGGAAGGTCGACAAGTGAAAAAGAAAAAGGAAGAAAGAATGAAGCGAAAGATAAGGACCAATCAAAATCAAATATTATAGGTTAGTAAAAAAAATAAATATTTTTTTTATAAAAGTTTCATATCGTACACTACTCTACACTCAGCATGAGGACTAATATGCATCTATTTATTTATCTATCTGGCTTTTCTGCTCCACTACATTTTTATACTCTGCTACTCTTTTGCATGTAATGCCCCATACTCCCTCATCTCGTCCATCTTTTCTTTCAGCCTCTCCTCACATGTTCTCTTCAAACCCAATTCATTTACTAAATGTGTCCATCTTCTGTCTTTTTTCTCCCTATGTAGATGTAAATAATGTATTTCTTTAAATGAAAATTATAAATTATATGAAAGACTAATTCTGTTATTTCAGATTCCATGTTCGGTGGTGATATGGAATTAATTGCAGCACTTGGTAACGAAGACCCTGGCGATGAATCATTTGAACACTTATTTGCAAGGATGGCCTCTATGAAAGGTATGTCTACTTCGTAAATACTTACCTGGATAAACCGACTAATTGCCTATTCTCTCGCAAAAGAGAACACCCCTCGAAAACAAAATGGAAGATTCGGCCCTAGTGCCAAGCACAGGCGATCCTGCAACCATGCATCATCCTCATTCTTTTTCGAAAGATCGTTCTACGATTTGTGTAGTTTTATATGTAGGAATAAAGGTAAGAAGTAAAAGAAAAAGGTAAACATTATAGCACTTCTAATTTTTGTGTATTTTAAATTCACAAGCATCATACCCTAGTAGCCTGGTCTGGCTACTAGGTTATCAATGTAATGCTCTATCCTCACTATCTAATTTTATTTTCCAAAAACCGAAAGGTCCACTGATTAATCTCAGATAAGAAAGTATAATACATACTCCAAGTATTGAAATACACGCCATCGTGTTGGGATTCAATATTTCGACATTAATTATGTCATCATCCTTCCTGATGATGACATAATTAATGTCGAAATATTGAATCCCAACACGATGGCGTGTATTTCAATACTTGGAGTATGTATTATACTTTCTAATTATATTTGAAAGATAGAAATATATACATTTACACTTGATTCATTTGTTACATGAACTTGGGTGCTTACAATTTTCTTTTCACAGAAAAAGCAAATTCTTTACCGCCTGGAGAGAGAAAAAAATATGCTGAGCAAGTTGCCATTGCATTTTGGAAAGCTATTGGAGGAGATGAGGATGAAATAAATGGACTAAGTGATGAAGATGAAGCACAAAAATAAACATTATTAAAGTATTTCATTAGAAGAATTGAAAAAGGAATGTACAAATATTATCCTCCTCATGAATGGCCTTTTGCAAAAGTGCAATCACATTTAATGCGATAAGCAGTGTGTACCTCTCGCAGTCCAGAGACTCTCATAGGGTTAAGGGTGTTTAGGAGCGTGGTCAGCAGCAAGCAGCCAAGTCTAAATTTGGATTGTTTGCCTGCATATATGAACTGCATATTAACAAGAATCTCCTGGTATTAACCACCACATCCCTTGAATTATACTCAGTGCAGTGGTGGCACCAAAGAGGGTACACAAGTCTTCACCGAGGTGAGCTAGTTTTCAGAATAAGCACCTCTAGATGCACCTTATCAAAGCAGTGTTCTCTGAAAAAGTGATTGACTTCTTCCCCATCAACGGGTCTAGACACACTCACCTGGTGGAGGTCCTGTGCCCACTCACTCAATGAATACAGATTGAGATTCTGCTGAAATATTTAATTCCACTCTTTAATTATACTAATAAGTTCAGTTACTAAATTACTGTATGGATGTTGTACAGTTTATTTTTTTCTCAAATTTATTATCGTATAGGGAAGTTGGGGCTTTAGTTACTTTATATAAGTCTTTAGTTAGGTCCAATCTTGAATTTTGTTGTGTTATTTTCAATTCTATTTCTCTCCATCAGTCGACTAGGTTACGTGTTCAAAATAAGTTTTTTAGATTTTATTCTTACAAATTTGGTTTTGTTAGTAAAGATTTCTTAACACCTTTAGCTGACCGCCGTAAACTTTTTGATTCAATTTTTCTTTTTAAGTGTATGAATGCAATCTACGATGGAAATTTTGCAGTTCATTTTCCTCTTTCTGTACCACAATATCAAATACGTAATCCTGTTCTTTTTTCAATACCAGGGGGAGAGTCAACATTACTAATAATGGGTTTATCTATCGTCTGCCTAAGTTATACAATTCTTTATGTAAAACTGATTTTTCTATTGACATTTTCTGTGATTCTCTTATGTGTTTTGTTCAATATTAGTAATATTTAGTTCCTTATAACTTTTCATAACTTTTTATATTCACATATATATATTTAGATTTTATTATTCAATCCTATAAAGGGTGACCCTGGTCACTGTTGGACTTTACATAACATGAGGGAAAGGTAATGATTTGTATTATTAAAGAGTTTTTAGGTGCAGTTGCAGGAGAGGTATGCACTATAGCCTTCACTTTAAAGTTGCTGCTAAAAACAGAAGACAGGAGGAATAAGTTTAGGTTTGCTATGGTTGTACAGTTACAATTGTCCTCATTTCATATTTTTTTAGTTTTGAATTAGGTTACAGATGCACCTGTTTTACAAAATATGCTGCTGTTGTAAAAGTGTACATTCAAATAAAATATTATATGACTATAACCTCCATCTAGTATACAACAGATATTATATTTTGAAGATTAGTTGCAGTACTGTATTCAGGTAATATTATAAAGATCAACAAATGTAATAATCTTTTATGTAATTCAGATGGTAGTATACTAAGCTGTATGATGGTATGCTCTAATATTGTCATGCGATTATTCAATCTGTTGCTTTTGATGCAGTAACAATTACAAATTCAGTAAATACAGTATACAACATTTTAAATATACAAAACAATAATCAAATGTATACAGTAATCAAATTGCTGCTATATTTGTATATTTTTTTTTTATGTTATTCATGGACTTTTTTTAACTCTTTAAAAAATGATTATCATTCCATATATGTAAATAAAAGTATATAAAATGCCAATGATATTTGTAGTATCATTATTTCATTAGTCTCATGGGGTATTGTGTTTCCTTCAGTTTCACATAAACCAAAGTTCTTTTTCGTACTAATAACAATTCATATGTTTGAGACCCCTGGAAAAAGAAGGGTCATTCCGTGCCAACTCAACAAATGGGATGGCTGGGTACCGTCTCAGATTTTCTTGAAACTCGGATATAATGTGCACCAACATGTCTGACGAACAAACCCAAAATTTGACTTGCCAATTCCAAGTCGTTTAGAAGTTACGGCCATTTCAAATTTTAGGGTCATACCCCTTTTTAGCTATCAATTATGACATATTTGTAAAGTTGCATTTTCAATTAGTTCTTAGAACTTTTGGCTGTAGAACAGAAATATGACATGACTTTTGGTATACCGGACCCCGTTACGAAAATATTGGTTCGTAAACACCCTAACTTATTTGGTTGCGTAATTTTTCTTCCATTTTTAGCCCCCATTAAAATACCCAAATCAGTTATTAAATGGGTCTTATGCACCAAATTAAGCCGTCGCCTAAGAAAGTTTCCAAGATATTGTCTGCAGCACCTACTAGTGAAAGACAAAATGAATGTTTTGATCATTTGAAGAGATTTGTGAAGTCCCTAGACGACAACACTTTAGGTACGTAGTCACCTAAAATATTATGTTAGTGCAAATGATAGGGTTAGAATAAAGATTAGCAAAGATACTGACTTTCTTTGGAAGATTTTTCAAATTTTGTTAAATTGGCCAAAATATTAGAGACAGCCGAAGCTTTGCAAAGACCTTTAAGCCTGTCTCTTATACACATCTAGATGTGTATAAGAGACAGGCGTACTTGCCCACAGGGTCAAAGGTCACCATGAAAACGAGGCATTTTTGTGCATTTTTTGTCCCGAATGACCTTTTGACCTACGATTACCACCTAAAATGATAAGTTAAAAATCCGGAATTTTTTGTGGTGAAACATTTCCAACTATATATTAATAATTTGTTGCATAAGACCCATTTAATAACTGATTTGGGTATTTTAATGGGGTCTAAAAATGGAAAAAAAATTCCGCAACCAAATAAATTAGGGTGTTTACGAACCAATATTTTCGTAACGGGGTCTGGTATACCAAAAGTCATGTCATATTCCTGTTCTACAGCCAAAAGTTAGTCTAGATATCAATTTTCAGTTAATTATCTTTATTCTATTTG